CATATTAAAGAAATGCATTGAAGACGTCAAATCCTTTGATGAGGGCACGTTATTTGACGTAATGTCATCATACTGTGTTGGAACAATTACTTGAGGCTGAAGAGCCTGTGAATACGTCCTGCTCTGAGTCGACTGCCGCGACATTGGTAAAATTTGACGTGGTTGTGATTGATGGTCATTGTAATTCGAGCTCTGCGAACTACGTTGAGTGGATGATTTCTTGACATTCGATGTGCTCGCCATCGTATATTATATCAAATTGATCGTAAAATTTTTATATGAATAATTAAGAAGTGTGTACACAGTCGAGTGTATTTATTTACTATGAAAAAAAAATAAAAAATTCGTGAAAGGTTATCGGTTAGTATTAAGCTGCACACGTTTTAACGTGGTTACAAAGTTTTTATATCTATTCTATGCTGTTAATAATGTATCGTGGTAGAAATTATTCGAAGTAGATGAAGAAATCAACGAAGGATTAATTGTATTCATAGAATTCGAAGAGATCGTTTCATCGGATGAGACAATTGAAGATTGCGACTGCGAGGCAGAAGACGAAACCATATCATGATCGGAAGACGATACTGGAGTTAAAGACGAAGATGAAGAGATAACAGTCTCCGAGGAAGAAGAGATATTAACAGGAGATTGAGGGACTTTTTCTTTTGGATCATCTAATTCATTCTCGTAAATAAGATTCCAGATTGAACCATCATCATCCAACTCAATGGGAGAAAGATTAGGCGAATAATGAGGATTAGGAGTTAAAATGTCCGTATCAGAAGAAGCATCACTATCAAAATAAAGATGCTGATCTATGGTATCATTAATCATTGGGTCAGAAAAGAAGACATCATTCACAACACCATTATTATGACCGTTAGACATTGAATGATCAATTTGATAATCAATTGATAAATCAGATTGAGAATCAGTTGAATGAGAGGTCATTGGGTATTGGTCTAAAGAAGTGGATCGTTGAGTTGGAACCACGAGTGGTAAAGATCGATTAATCTGATTTGACATTGAATGAGGTCTAGTAGAAACTGACATGGGGTGAGTCATGTTACCAGAGACAGCACGAATG